CGGAAAATCGGACAAGACACTTCCTTCTTAGAACTTTCAGCCTAGGTTTTTTGTTATGTTTACCATTTTGAGAAAGAAGGTTCCAAACAATAAGCTTTCCCCCAATCACGCTCTGTCTTTCCTATTATTTTTGTCCCTTGCCTCAGTGTCAGTCTTTTGCTCATGTTTCCTTCTTTTCCCTCAAACAAGAAGCATCCGGAGGCTGTGCATGTAAGGGTGTGCATGGGAGGAGTCTGTCCATCCATGGTTGTCCTAGGCAGAACCCCGGCTAAGCAGATGCTTCCTTCTCCCTCCCTCTTTGGTGCCCTATCACCTCTAAATACCTCCTTTCCTCAACTCCCCAGGTGTCCAGGGTCCCCTGTTAAAATAAAGTAGGGCCCCCGGCATGGCATCCTCGCAATGTGTCTCCCTAAGTGCTCCATGTTCTCTTCTGTTCCCTGCTCTATCAAATCTCCAGGAAGAATGCTGTCTTATTAGGTCATACTGCTGTAGGCAGAATTGACAAATATCTCATCAACTATCCCAGGAGTGCTGGCCTTTAACATTGTTTGCGGGAAACGAGTAAACTCGTCGTATAGAGAAAAATGCCCGCTTACAGTGTGCTAATAGAAAACTGATGAGAGTTTATTTGAGCCAAACTGTCGACAATTGCCAGTGTGGATAGAAAAGGGGACACGTTAAACCTGAAAAGCTCAGGAGACTGAAAATAACCACAGAGAATGGTGTGAACATAAAAAGTTTTAACTAAGTGGGCCATGGTGAGAAGTCATATCTTCAGCTTCCTCATTAAACATTGTTTGCGGGAAACAAGTAAACTCGTCGTATAGAGAAAAATGCCCGCAAATAATGTTTAAAAAGAAGAGACATATTAGCTGTATAAACCTCTAAGTGATCAAACTTCAGGCAGGGCCGGCCGAGTGACACGTTGGTTAAGAATTGGTTTGGGATACCAGAGGGCCCCGGTTCGGATCCCACATATGAGGGCCAGTGACACTGCCCTCTACAGCTAAGATGCTGAACAACAGCTTAACCTGGAGCTGGGCTGCCGTGAGTCACTGGCGACGGTGTAGGCTGTAGCCCCTGCTGCAGTGGGTTGCCAAGGGCTACCGTGTGTAGTGAGGGGCCAGCAGCCGCCATGAGCGGCCGTCCAGAAGCCGGCGACTGATCTACCTCGCCCGGGAAGAGCACAATGATGGTGCCAACTTGGGCCAGTGAAGCAACGTCCTCCACAACTAGACTGAAGAACAAAAACAACAGCAACTTCTCTGTTCCCCTTCCCCCGATTCCCCAATAAAATCTTTTAAAAAAACAAAAAACAACTTCAGGCACAGAGGAGGGGTTAGGATGTTTCGGCAGCCTGGAGAGCTTGGGGGCAGACAGAGGAGCCCCAGCCCCCAGTCTGCACCTGTGGCTTAGTGGGCCTTGCCTCTCAGGCTCACACAGACGGGGGTCATTTGCCCTATTCACTGTTTTTTTTCTTACAAGTGTCGTGTGTGCATATATGTGTGCGCGTATGTCCATGTCTTCTTATTAGGTCACTGTTTAACTTATGTGCATCTGTGTAACTATTCTTGGTCCATTGGCCCTTTTGAAGAACATCAGTGTTTGAAGTGCCTGAGGTGGTGCTATGCTTACATGTCCCCATCATCCAATTCCAGAGGAGTCACACTTGTCTTCTCCCACCACTCCATTCCCACAGGGTGGAAGAGACGAGCTACTTCACATATATTATCCCTGGGCTGTGATTTGGGAAAGAAATAGGATTCATTTTCTTGACACTATCTTTCACCAGTTACAAATGGTAACAATTGCCTGTGGGACTCTTGAGAAATTATGAAGTGTTAATTAGCAGAAGCACTGTGTATTTAAAATATGTGGTATATTTAAATAACTATTAAATTAAACCTTCTTTGCAGAGTTGAGAAACCATCTGGTCCAAAAATCTGAGGCGTTCAATTTTGCTGTATATGGTAAGAGAAATGTTTAAATGGTTCTAGAAATGGTGATATTGTGTCACTTTTATTTCCTTAGCTATGGAAACTGAGGCACGGAAGCAGGTGGAGACCTGGCTATGGTCAGAGCCGGGGCTACTCTAACTGATGTACCACCACCCGTCCAGAGGGTGTGTTTAGACCATGAAAGGTCTGTGTTTCTATGACTGTGGTTGCCCCTTAGAAGTTGTGTATTTCAAACTTCTTGATCCCAATGACTTGTGATGCTTTGCACTTTTAAAAGTGCGAAGCAAGGATTCCGGCCATTTTCTGCAGAGATGAGGACCGAGCAGGAAGCCCAGTCCAGTCACAGACAATTAAGTATTTGGACAAATCACATCCTTTTGGTCTCAGTTTTCTCATAGGTTTAATGAAGTGGGGAGGGTCTAACAAGGAAAATAAGAACTTCTCCAAGTATCTCAACACAGGACATTTCATGCAGGACATTTGCACAGGTCATGGAGGAGCTGAAACAGACAGAGCATGGAGAGGCAGCCCAGAGATTAGCTCCTGTGGGAAGTCACTTCCACTTTTGAGGCTGGAGGGAGAAGGGCAGGAGGTGGGAGATGGAGCATGGTGGGCCTCTCTGACAGGAGCTGGGGAAATGGAAGAGGTGCCACTTGAGGCAGAGAGCGAAGGAGGAAGTGCCCCAGTGTCTCTCCCTGTCTTGGGTCAGGGCCTCCGATTGCCCCCAACCCAGCAGGAAGCCAGTGACATGGTGCCTGCTGGGGTCAGCAGGGAAGGCTGAGCAATGGTTAGGTCAGGAGCAGCCCAGGCCAGGTTGCCTTTGAAGTACCCTGTAACCTGGACATTCAAGGAGAGCTACAAGTTCAGTGTGTCCTTGAGGGTTTGTCGATGGGGAAACCAGGCCAATACAGACAGGCGGCCTTTAACGAGACTCCCCTATTCCCACCATCAGAAACAAACATTCCCAGGGCACACCTACCTTTTTATGCACTGGGCTTGCCTCGGTGAGGGGAAGACCAGGCAGGCCTACAGGGATGGGGTTTGTGGGTGAGGGGAGGAGGAGAAGATACAAGATGGGGGCGGAGTAGAAAGAGGAGACAGAAGAAGGATCACATCTGCGGATGGAGGGCCAAACCCAAAGCCTACCGTGACCAGGGTGGTTACTGTCTGTGCAAAAGGATGCTTCTCATTATAAAATAATTCACAACAGTGCAGTGTCCATAGCAGGCTTTTCTAGAATGTTTAACAGGTTTTCACACGAGGCACCTCTTTCATAGAGTGTCTTTAATCAATACCTGTCAAACTGGATTGGCTTGCGAACCCTTCACCTATGGTCCCTCCCTGTGGAAGTGGCATTAGCAGTCACACCCTGTCCTCAGCTCAAGACAAAGTCCTCACACAAACAGGCACTTCCCCGCAGTGGAATTTGAGGTGCTAATGGACTCTCCTTCTCTAGGCTTCAGGCTCTGCATCTGTAAAGTGAGGGGGTTGGGTGTGCTTTCAGGGCCCTCCTAACTCTGCCACACAGGGATCCACCCCAGACCCTGGCAGACAGGTGCAAGAAATGGCCCTTCAAGCCATGCCCAGAAGAGAGCATGTGAGGCGTAGATAGGACGCTTATATAGCCAAGCTTTAGGCTTAGCTCAAGGCTGTGGCCTCAAGGACGAACTTAAGTAACTAGACGTTCTTTGTAATAACTCGAGGTCTCTCATTTCTTGACTGTGAAATGGAGGGTAGGCCGACCACAGCAATGTTTCCTATAAATCCATTTCTCTGCCACCTGCTGCTCTCACACCTCACATAACTGCTCTTCTCTCAACACAAGGCCTTAAAGACCCACGTTTCCCTGAAGTTCCCATCCTCTTGTGCTTTCCCTGTCTCCCTTCCCTGTCACCTCTGCATGATGACGCCCCAAAGTGCCAATGTAGAGAGGCAGGCTCTTCTTGAATTTCAGGGAGGAGAGAGGCCTGTGAGGAGGGGGAAAGCTGGGAATACTCATGCATTAATCATTTTTGTCCTGACTCCCATACAGAGATGAGTAATAGCAGAAAAAGATGCAAGTGTGATGACAAATGAGAGGTACTGGAGCAGAGAAAAGGGAGAGAGTTCTACGCTGGAGATTGGAAAGACCTTGACCATAGGACGGGAGAGGTCTGGCCTGAGCCAGGCCACAGCAGCACAGACATGAGGGAGCTGTGGGCTGACATGGGGCGGTGAGGGTGATCCTGTTTGCCTGGGGTGGGCGTTTCACGTAGAGGAAGAGTGGGAGATGATGCCTCAGGGCTAGCCTGAGGAGCTTGAAAACCAGAATGACTTTATTCTGTTGTACAGAAAGCAATGGCACGGTGCCACTCCCCGTGCTCGAGCCCATGGCAGATGCTGGAAGTCAGTCCCCATGTTCTTTCCGACTGAATGCAGAGGAGGACTCAAGCTGTACTAAGGCAGTGCCACCCGTCCACTGGAGGTGGTACATGATATAAAGCTTTGTGACCTTGGCTATAGACAAGGAAAAGTTGTGGGTGGTTTTCGTGAAACATTTTAGAGACATAACCACATGTGCAGATTGGATTGGAGGAGGGGCACTGGAAAAAGAGATCAGTGGGAAAATGAATGCAGTAAGAATCCAGGCCAAGAGATATCTGTACCTTCTTCTGCCCATTCCAACATTGAACTTGGTGGACCGGCTTTATTTTTTAAACCCAGGCTCTTTTAGTGGGTAAAGCTACCCCATTCCCACACTCATGCTAGGGCATATGCCAGTGGCCTCTCCTGTCTTGCCTATCAAACTGAGCTTCTTGTTACCCAGTCACATAAGAGCCCAGGCTGCATTAGAGGCACGTTCTCGTCTCCTTTTTGGGCCATATGTTTTTCACTCTATAAAAAGCATCAGGGCAAAAATACTGATTTACAAATCTCCATCAAGGTCATTGAAATTAAGAAATTGGGATTCTATCACCTAAGTTTCTATTCTTCTGGTAATAATTGTTCAGGGCTCTCCGTAAGGCAGGGATGAGGAAATTTTCTATTTTTCTCCTCCAAAAGGATGAGACAGTTTCTTGGTTGACCCTGTTAGAGATTGATGAACTGGAGCAGTCAGAAGCCATTAGCGTTGCCCCAGTGAGCTGCTGTTCAATTCAGAAGCATCGGCGGAGCCCAGGGAGACGTGCCACCAGAGGTCAGTGACTTGCCTTTGCTCTTTATCCCACAGTGGAAAGCTGGGCTTCTCCGCTGTCACAGTGGCCTAATGTGGTGGCTGATTGGCGCGACAACTTCTGAACCTTTATTCCAGGGGTCTCCTTTGTCATCATGGTGCTGCTGATGACAATATGCTCTTAAACTCTTGCTACGCAAAATGTGATCTGTGGACCAGCAAATCAGCATCACCCAGGAGTTTTCGAGAAATGCCAACTCTCAGGCCCCACCCCAGACCTGTGGAATCAGAACCTTCAGGTTAACAAGATCCTCAGATGATCTGTAAGCACATTAAGGTTGTAGAAGTCCGAGGCAGTTCTTGAGGCCAGAAGTGAGAAATCAGGGTGTCAGCAGGGCCATGCTCCCTCCAGAGGCCCTAGGGACCCCAGGGGAGGGTCCTTCCTTGCTTCCTCCAGCTCCTGGTGGCTCCTGGGGTTTCTTGACTTGTGGCTGCATCACTCCAGTCTCTGTACCCATCTTCATGTGGCCACCTCCTCCGTGCCTGTGATGGGTTTAAGGCTCAACTGGATAATCTAGGATGATTTCATCATGAGATCCTTCACTTAATTAGATTGGTTAAGACCCATTTTCCAAATAAGAGCTCATATTCTCTGGTTTTGGGAGTTAGGATGTGGACATATTTTTTGAGGGGCCACTGTTCAACCCACTGCAGGCCCCCGTGGAACCTTCCCAGATAGCATGCTTCTGAGCCGCTTGCCAGGGTGCACTCTCCTCAGCTGGCCAGTTTGATGTTCTGATTTACCCAGACTGCTGGAGATGGCCAAATCATACCAGCATCACTGAGGCCTCTTCTACGACAGACATTGTCCTATGTGGTTTACATGGATGAATCCATTTGATTGCAACAACCCCTTGGGGTTGCTACTCCCACTTTACATATGAGAAAACTGAGGCATGGGGTGGTTCAGTGACTCACCTAAGGCCTCAGAGCTAGTAGAGGTGAACCTGGGATACAAACCCAGCAGTCTGCACCAGAGTCTGTGCTTCTGAAATTATGGAGGGTTCTAAAAGTGGAGGAGAAGGTGGCGCCAGGGCCCTTCATCTCACATCCCAGGGAGGGTGGGCACAAGGAAGGCGAAGATGGAGTGTGGGCAGCTGTCCTGCCCCACCCCGCAGCGCAAGGAGGTTGGAGGAACCACCAGCTGTTATGTATTGCACCCTGAAACCTTTTCCATTTAACACTGTGTAGGTACATGTTTCCATAAAACAGTTTGTTATGGCTAAATGCTTTGTGGGGTTTATTACCAAAGAAGGTCTTCAGTTGGATATGTAGTAAGGCTTTATACACTTTCAGCCTGTGTCATGCCTTGGGTTAACACATCCCATTGTTTTAGTAAGCCAATATGTAAAATCTTATTTATTTGCTTTAAATGCCCTTATTTTTAGTGGTGAGAAGTGGGATCTTTCCTTGCATTCACTCTCTTTATACCCTTCATGATTTTGGTTTGCAGTCCTTTGCCACCTTCATTTTCCCTAGACTGAAAATCTCACGCCTTTCTCTTATGTTCCAAGCTTGACTGCCAAGAAGGCCCAGGAGCCCTTCCCAAGACACAAGCGTGTCCGATGGCTGGGCACAGCCTTTTGTGCCTGTAAAATAAACGACCAGGTCAAAAGGGTCAGGGAAGTAGCTGGAAAAACCTGCAGCCCAGTCCAGGCATTTTTACTAGTGATGCAAGCAGCATTGTAACCAGCACTGGGAGCTCCAGATGGAAAATTGGAACTCACCATTTAAAACTGCATATCAGCTGAAAATCTACCTGTGTCTTTAGCACAGAAATTCAGCAGCAAACATAACCTGCCTAATTTTATTAAGCTCAGATTCACAGATTATTGACATTCCCTTGAGAATTTTTGATGAGGCAGTCAGCCCAGCTGTATGCTTGCTGGCAAGATGGAATCCAGACTGTGATTTTAAAAATTCAATTGTTACAATGTCAATAGACCACATGAAGAATGATTTAATAGTAGCAGCTAACATTTACTGAGCCATTATTATTTATCAGGTCTGTGCCTTCATGTATTATCTCAAAAGCCTCTGAGGAGATATTGTTCCTCTCTACATTGTACAGATGAAGAAACTGAGGTCTAGAGATTTTAAGAAACTTGCCCAAAATCATATAGCTAGAAAGAAGCAGAGCTGGGATTTGATCCTGGACCCTTAATGCTCTCCAGAGCCTGGATCCTTACCCATGATGCTATGTGGTGGAGCCAGCTTCGCTGGGCCCTTAATGTAATGAGATCATTTTGGACTCCTACTGAGTTATTTACCACCCCCAGCCCTGTCCTCCACAATAGTTCTTAATTTTCCCTTTGCTTGCCTCAAATCTCTCTATTCCCAACATTGGGGAAATGCAGGGCAGATCCAAATGGCAGATCTGGGAGGGTTCTTGGAGGGAGGATACAGGGGATGGGAAATAGCATTGGTTGAGCTCTTACTGTGTGCTACTTTTTTTTTGGAGAACAGTTCTAGCCAAGGTAGTTTTCATCAGCTCAGTGAATCAGAAATCCAGGTGGGGGATCCATTGGCATTTTTGTTTCATTTTGCTATCTTTTAAGTTCTGGCCCTCTCATCCTAGCCTGCTCTTGCCTTATGACATTATGTCCTGTTTCACAGAGGAGGAAGACGACTTCTCAGAGCATGTGGATGTACACTGAGTAAAAACTATTTGGGAGCTGGGCACGTCAGTCTGCCTTTCCTCACAGATCTCAGGACACCACACCTGGCAGAAGCAGGACTGACAACCACCAAAGCTCTTCTGCTGATAAACCCTGAGTCAGGGAAGCCCCATGGCCTGTTTCTCAGCTTCCTGACCCAGTGGATGGCCTGCCATCCTCCCCCCACTCCTAGGAAGGGCAGTCCCAAAGCTGGTGACACTAACTTCTAAGTTTGGTTCCCATACTTCTTTAATTCTAAGGCACACATTTCCCCCCACATGCCAACATCTCTGAAATTGGGATGTGTCCTCCAATTAATAATGGCATGATTATAATTGGCAGTGGTTTTTCTTTTTTAGTAATATTTAAATTAATGGGGTGTCAATTAATCAATGAGGTCTTAGATTTGGAGAACTACGATGATGCCAATGTTTACTTTATTTTTACCCCTCACTATCAATTCACTATCTGATTGGCATCTCTCTACCTTCACGTCTGAGGCCTGTATCAAAGGTCTTCCTTTGATCGCCTGTGTGACTAGCTTCCCCTGTCATTTCTTCAAGCGGGAGATGTCCTGGAAGCAACAGTAAATGAGTCCCCAGTATCTGATGGCTCTCAAGTTGTTATCATGACATTTATCTTTCATTTCCTTCCTTCCTAAATATTATCACAGTTTTTAGAATCTCCGGACATTATGAAGCAGTGGGTCATATTTTTATATTTGTGGGTTCACCTAAGTATTTATTTCCTTGAGTCTGATGTTAATAGCCCAATCACCCCACCACCTAAAAATGAGTATGACTGAACTTCATTAAGTTTTAGTAAAAGGAGAACCATTTTATAACCTGGATGTGGGATGGAGCTGGTGTCCTTGATAGTTATCCTTGTGAATCTCTGATTTAGACAAATTATTAAGGTAATTGCTATGGTCAGCTTAGCACAGAAATTGCCTGGAGGTATAAAGAATCACTGTTCATTATGTGTGCACCACATTTGATGTTCCTGTCAAGTGGTTTCCTGATCACCTTTTTTTTTTTTTCTTAGCTGAGCCATCCTGCCACCTGTTGGCAGCTCAGCAGCAGCTCAGCTCGGGCTAGGAATCAAACTGGCGACCCTGTTGCTCAGAGATCGCGCTCTTGAGCGAGCTCTTAACCAACTGAGCCACTTGGCTGGCCATTCCTGATCACCGTTTGCTGGAAGCTATTATCCCTGTAGGTTGTATCTTAGGGGACTTGATTTCACCTTATTTGAGGAAAAGAAAAAACAATTAGAAGTGTCTTGAGAAAAGACAGTTCACAGGAAGATGAATGATCTGAAAGACTCAAAAGATGCACTTACCTCTTATAATAATCCGCTCTAAGACCCAGAACAGAAATGTCAGAAAACTATTTGGTATCCTTAAAATAGTTTAAAAAGACATGGCTTCTAAGAAATAGGAGAGGGCAGTCATAGGAGAGAACAAATTAAGATAAAAAGGCCTGAAGTGAATGGAGATAAAATAAGGAAAGTGTGCAAGAGATCAAATGTTCAATATTATAATGAAAATCCACATTATTTTTCTGAATTAAAATTCATGAAGTTGGAAATAATGACAAACTGTCAGAATGCAAAAAAAAATAATAAATGTCAATATTAAAACTAGTAAGAGGAAAAAAAAAAGAGAGAACAGAGATTCTCCGTATGGATCATTGGTGGTCCTGAAGGAGATGCTGGCATGAAATGGAAGCAATCACTGAAGAGTTAATAGAAGACTATCTTGAGCTAAAGAAAAGGTGTGACTATGTTTCCAGGGCAGGCTACCTGCTGTAATGACAACCTTAGCATCTCCAATCAGATGCTCAGTGGGCTGCCTTCAGCAACACCCTGGCTCCTTCCTTTTGGTGGCTACATCACCCCCACGGGTCTCAGGGTTTCTGTTGAACCCTCTGTATCCAGTAGGGAGGCAAGAAAGGGGAAAGAGTGTGGAGAAGGCACCTCTGCTCTTAACTGCCTTGGCTACAGGCGATGCATATCACTTCTGCTTACATTCCGTTGGCTTACATTCCGTTGGCTTACATTCCATGTGGCCCTATCCAGATGGAAGGAAAGCTGGGAAATGTGAGTGCCCAGGAAGAAGAGAACGTGGGTTTGTTAAGCACACGGCATTGTCTCTGACACATGGATACACAAACACACATACCGGTATGCATATAGAGAGAGCTTGAAGTAGTTTTTTCCTTAATAGCTTCATGATAAAATCCAAACCGTAAAGGATCACAGGGAGAAGTGGAAAGTCAAACAACATGCCTGTTATCGTTTCCGTCTCGT